TCAGCCAGGCGTGGGCGACTCCAGTGGCGGAGGACCCAAGGCTTGGGATTGCCCAAAGTGCGGAGCCAAGAATAACTGGGGCTCCAGGCACATGTGCCGCGACTGCGGGTATGACTTGTGGGAACGAGGATTTGGTGCAAGCTCGTGGTGGAGTGGCATGTCACAGCTGGACGCCAAGGAACGACACGAGCTCAACCAGTGGCGCAGAAAGGTCAACAAGCTTGAAGGGGGAGGGAGGAGGAGGAGGAAGAGGAGGAGGACTGAGGTCGTCGTCGTCGTTGTCGTTGTCGTTGTCGCACCCGCGGCTTCACTGTAGTTGAAAAGGGGATGCGTTTGCTGTGGCCCCTCCGCGCTTGCACATTGGATTCGTTTACTGCGGCCCCTCAGTAGTGGAACTGTGGGTGCGTCTGTTGTGCCTCCCTATAGTTGCAACGTGGGCAGGTTTACTGCGGCCCCACTGCGGTTGAAACATCGGCGCGTTTGCTGCGGCCCCTCCGAAGTTAACAATGGGTGCGTTTAGCGTTTCCTGCCGCCCTCTGTACCTGGATTGTGGGTGCGTTTGCAATGCCCCCCATAGTTGAAATCTGGATACGTTTGCGGCGACCCCTTGTAATTCAAATGGGGGTGCGTTCGCTGTGGCCCACTGTAGTTTAAACATAGGCGCGTTTGCTGCGGCCCTAGTTCACAGTGGGTGCGTTTACTCCCGTCATCTGTAGTTGAACCGTGGGTGCGTTTGCAATGCCCCCAATGGTTGTAATATGGGTACGTTTGCAGCAGCCCCATGTAGCTGAACTGGGTGTACTTGTTCTGCGGCCCCACTGCAATGAACACTGGGTGCGTTTGCTGCGGCCCTTCTGCGCTTTGACAGCGGGTGCGTATAATGCTGCCCCTCCGTAGTTGAACTATGGGTGCGTTTACTGCGCCCCCTTGCCGTTGAAATGTAGGTACGTTTGCCGCGGCCCCCTTGTAGTTGGAATGAGGGTACGTTTGTTGCGGTTCCACTGCAGTAGAAAGCTGGTTGCGTTTGTTGCGGCCCTTCTGCGCTTCGACAGAGGGCGCGCTTACTGTCGCCACTCTGTAGTTGAACTGTGGGCACGTTTTCTGTGCCCCCTCCCCCATCCCCTTTATTGTTAAGATGCCGGTCCGGTCACTGCGGCCCCTTGCAGTTGAAATATGGGTGCGTTTGTTGCGGCCCCAGGGCAAATAAAGCGTGGCGGTTGCTGCAGCCCTTCTGTAGCTTAACAATCGGTGCGGCCCCCTGTAGTTAACTGAGGGTGCGCGTGCGCTTAGTGTGCCAACCATATGAGTGAAATGTGGGTATGTTTGCTGCGGCCCCCTTTGTAGTTGACATGACGGTACGTTTGCTGCGGCCCCGCTGCACTTGAACATTGGCGTTTCTTGCGACGCCTCTATAGTTTAACAGTGCGTGCGTTTTCTGCCGCCCCTTTGTAGTTGAACCGTGGGCACGTTTGCTGCGCCCCCTATTGTTGACGTGTGGATATATCTATGTATCACACAAAGACCTTTCAACGGATTTCCGCAATTCCGTCGAAATCCATTACATGCCGCTGCCGCGAACAGGGAGGCCCAAGAACGGCCTGAGAGGCCGACGGACGCCCCGAAAGCGAGGCACACGCCGAATCCGATCGCCAGTGTGGCGGTCTGAGGAGGGCTGCAGGAGGAGGAGTGGGAGGAGGAAGCGGAGGAAGCGAGCGGAGACAATGCTTAGAAGGCGCGAGCTGCCGCGCTCGACCAACCGCGCAGGTTTTTCTGGCGGCTCCAGTCCGGGCTGCCCCTGACGCCCCAGAGAGGGAATTCGCGTGGAGGATTTCATTGAGCGCGTTGGATATTGCACCCAGCTTCGCACATCCAGGCGTAACGCTTTGTTTTTTTGCAGCTCGCCTGCCGTTCTTGAGGCCGCGAGGCGCACAGCGAGCGAGCCTAATCCCCGCAGTGGCGGTCGGAGGAGGGCAGGAGGAGCGGGGGAGGAGGGTCGGAGGAGCGTCATTCGAGACAACGGCAGGGCTGTCAGCAGCACCCACAGAAGGGATGCGTGCTCGCCCAGAGAAGGGATACTGTCGGATTGCTCTCGCCGCCCCAGAGAGTGAAATCGTGTCGAGGGTTTCATGCCATTGAACGGATGGGATCGAACACCAAGCTCCGCACATTCATTTGGAGCACTTCATATGTGTTGCCAGCTGTTGTTTGGGATACTGCGAGGCACGCGCTCCGAGCGATTCCGGTCCCCAGTGTGGCGGTCAACGGAAGACAGGAAGAGGCAGTGAGGAGGAGGAGGAGGAGGAGGAGGAGGAGGTCCAGTCGAGACAACGGCTGATCTCCCTGGCATTAGCCGTCCTTTTGGGGCCTTCTGGTTGCTTCTCGTCGCCACGGTTGGAGTCGCCTCGAACAACGGGTCTGGATGGACCCTGGGAGGGGGTCCTGGTGGGACCGATTTCGAGATGGTTCTGGGCAGGCGGGAAAGCCCCGCTTGTGTCTCATCTGGCCCTCCGGGAGGAGATAGGGCGAATACGAGGAGGAATGATCGTGTCAAGCTTTTCCTCGAGCTGTGGCGAGCGCCCTTCTCGTGGGCCGACATGCTCCGTGGCTCCGCTGCGGATGCGCCGACCGCCGAGACCGCCCCGCCAGCGTTCTCGCCAAGGTCATGGGCGGGTCACAATTCAATTGTTTCCTAGTTCCAGCCAGGAGTACAACCCGCACGCCAGCCAACGTGTCGCCTGTTCGCGTGCCCGGCCCGTGCTGCGGATGCGCAGCTGGGGCGCCTGAAGAGTAGAGGCTGGAGAGGGGGTAAGAGGAGGGCGAGGAGGAAGAGGAGGAGGAAGTGGAGGAGGAGGAGGAGGAGGACGACGAGGAGGAGGAGGAGGAGGGAGGAGGGAGGAGGGAGGAGGGGCGGTGGCGCGCTTCGACGCTCCGCCACGACGCGCTCGCGCCGTGTCTGACATCCCATCCCTCCCCCCATCCGTTTCCACTGCGCTGGTTAGCTCTCTATCCGCGGACGCGTGTCATAGCCCATCATAGAGATCCGTGGGAGTAAGAGGAGTGGGAGCAGGAGACCTGCTGGGACATCGATGCCTCTCCGTCTCTTCGTGGGCAGGCGTACCTTCTGCCACCGCTCTGAGCACGACAACTGAGATCGAGGCGCTGGCAGAGATGGGCAGTGAGGCAGCTGAGCTCGATGCTCGCGACCGGAGGCTCCCTTCTCGATCGAAGGAAGTGGCCAGGCTTCCTAATGTGCGAACACGGCACGCATGGCTCCAGTTCGGGCTGCTCTCGCCGCCCCAAATAATGACTTATCGTTGGGGACTTGCTCGAGACATCCTCAGAAAACTGCATTCGCAGCATCTTCGCTTGAGGTCCTGTCTCCTCCGTCTCTTCCGTCTCCTCCGTTTCTGAGGTCTCCTCCGTCTCTGAGGTCTCCTCCGTCTCGACTCCGTCTCCTCCGTCATCCTCCTCTTCCTCCTCTTCCTCCTCCTCCTCCTCCTTCTCTCTTCTCCGTCTCTGAGGTCTCCTCTGCATCCTCCTTCTCTGAGGTCTCCTCCGTCTCTGAGGTCTCCTCCGTCTCTGAGGTCTCTGAGGTTTCCTCCGTCTCTGATGTTTCTGAGGTCTCTGAGGTCTCCTCCGTCTCTGAGGTCTCCTGAGGCCGCAGGGGGGAGGGATGAGGCAAGAGGGAGGAGGGGGGAGGGAGGAGGAGGAGCAGCAGCAGGAGGAGGAGGAGAAAGGCTCGCCGAGGCTGCAAGAACGTTGGACGAGGGCCGCGCAGGATCTGCAGGCGACGTTTGAGGCCCCGATGAGCCTCTGGTGGACCTTCCGGCAGAGACAGGTAGAGAGAGATGGTGACGCAACAAGTTCTTAACACCAAAGCGCCCAAAAGTGAGTTCATTGTTTTCGGGCTGGCCTTGAACACTTCTATTCAAAAGGAGAGGGAGGTGGGGGAGGAGGAGGAGGAGGAGAAGGAGTAGGAGGAGAAGGGTGGCCGTCCATGTGTAAACGTGACGACTACGTACCATCCATGTGTCCACATTTGGTTTGCCACCCATGTGTCCACATTTGGGGTTGCCTCCCGTGCATCCCCATGCGGCCTGCCACCCATGTATCCCGATTTGGGCTGCCGCCATGTGGACACAAGGGTGACAGCCCCAATGTGGACACACGGATGGCAATCCAAATGTGGGCACATGAGTGGCAAACCAAATGTGATCACACTAGGGTGGCCGTCCAAGTGTGTGCGCTAAAGCTGCCACCCATGTGGACACATGGTGGCAGGCCCCCTTCGAGCTTCGAGCCGTTGCTCCCGTGGCCTGCCCAATAATCAGCGAGCGAAGAACGGTATAAAATAAACTTTTTCGCTGTCGGGGGCGCCTGTCCCTGGGCGACTGGAAAGTTTATACCCTTACGGTGGCACCGTTCTTCGCCCGTTAAAAGAAGGCCCCCCAAATCGTCCCTGGCTGTTGGCTGGGAGCGTGAGGCTGCGGTGTTACAGCTCTGGCATCGGCCAGTCGTGGTTTCCACCCGTCGGCTGGCTGAGACCTCGCCCTCCTCCCTCCTTCTCGTTTTTCCCTGCACGATGTGCTGAACAGATGCTCCGAATGTTCCGCCTCCTCCGCCTCCGCCTCCTCCTCCTCCTCCGCCTATCCTCCTCCGCCGCCTCCTCCGCCTCCTCCTCCTCCGCCTCCTCCTCCGCCGCCTCCTCCTCCGCCTCCTCCTCCTCCGCCTCCGCCTCCTCGTTTACTTCCTCCTCCTCCTCCGCCTCCTCCTCATTCACGTCCTGCTCCTCCACCTCCTCCTCCTCCTCCGCCTCCTCCTCCTCCTCCCCCGTCCGTAGCCATTTTGGCTCAAGCCTGGCTCGAATCCCCCCTGGCGCGCGGTTCGGGCATGATGGTTGCGGGAGGCCCTCGGGCGGCGCCCTCTGGGGCGATGTCTGGAGCAGGACCACGTTGCGGGCAGGCCTGGGCCCGACGCTCAGCGGCCACGCTTGCGCGCAGGCTGCGCAGGGAGCGAGCCCTGGAGCGGGACGGGGCCACGGCGACGGCTGCTGCCGCTGCTGCGGTGACGGTGCTGGCTCCCCCCACGGACCTGGCGGCCGCCCTTGTGGATCGCCTCGTCAGCCTCGGCAGGGCGCTGCTGCTGCACCACAGGGCTGACGTCGCCCGTGGCCGCCACATGCATCGATTGGGCGATGCACTGCGAGCGGTGGCCAAGACGCTCGACGTGGACACAGACTTCGTGCACAGAGGCATGGAGATCAAGAGCGACGGCGACAAAGCGAGGCACCAGCCGCTTCTTGCAGCGACGCCTTCGGCTGCAGTGGATTGCGTGGTCGAGATGTGCGTAGCTGATGTTGTGGCGAGCACAGTCAATGTGGATACGGCTGTGCTGCCACACGGGAGTGTGCTGCGGGCGGAGGCGCATGTGTTCGTCCCCCTCGGCCTCCTCGGCGCAATCGCGCCCGACTACTGCGAGGACCAGGTGCCAATCCAGCTGGATACGGTCGCGCCCTTCGTCCAAGAGGGCCAGGCGACCGAGTGCGAGACGGGATTCCATGAGGAGTCCTGCGACGACGCGGAGCTCGACGTGACCATCGAGGAGGGCGGCGATGCCACGGCCTGCACGGCCGAGCCACCGCCGCCGGCAGCCGCGTGCAGTGCTGCGGTCGCCGACTATCTGACAGCCCACCCCGCGGCAGCCCTTAGCGGGGGCTACTGCGCTGGTGAGGTTTCTGGCGCTGATCTTCAAGGTCAGCCTCATGCTGAAGGGTTCCGCGGGGCTTTTCATCTCGCCACTGGTATTCCGGGTGCTGCTCATCAGGAGCCTGGAGGCACCACACAAAATTCCCCGCCGTGCCGAGACACTGTCCTCGGTGCGCGGCGGGGTCCCTGCTGTGCCGAGACGCAGTCCTCGGTAGACGGCAGGATGGGCCCTACGAATCCCTCGCCGTGCCGAGACGCAGTCCTCGGTAGACGGCGGGGTCCTTGCAGTGCCCAGGCGCAGTCTTCGGTAGACGGCAGGATGGGCCCTGGGCACGTCGGCGACGACCACACGGGGTCTCAGGAGTTCGCCGACGGGGACGCCCACCTCAAGCGCGCTGCGGCCAGGCTGGCTGACACTGTGGCCGAGGCCGCGCGCTTGGCGCGCGCCGCGGCGGTGTCCTCCCGCCCTGCCCTGGGGTCAGAGGGCCCTGCGGCCACATGGCCACTGCTGGAGCGGCAAGATCGCCAGGCTGACGCGGTGCTGGCGGCCAAGATCGGCGACCACACGGAGTTCAAGCAGGATTTCAAAGATGTGGTCACCGACGCCAATGAGACGTGCTGGCAAGAAATGGTCGAGGTCATCCGTGGCCGTGCCGTTTCGACGACCTTGCCAGACGGCTCGCGCAGGACATACCAGCAGCCCCGCGGGATGCGCCACGCGGCGCTGCGCTGGCGCCTGCAGTGCCTTGACGACCAGAACGTCGAGGCCGAGCGGCGCCCGCCTAGCTGGCTGCTCCCGCGCACCTTGCCTCCACCGCTGCTGGACACCACGATCCTCAAGCATGGCGGGCATCGTCGCGACCGACGCGCTACTGCTGCTCTGCGGGATCGCGCCCGCCAGCTACAGTCCTTCGAGAAGGAGGACAGCGACGAGAGCGAGAGCGGGGAGAGCGCTGACGACCCTCTGTACGAGCACTTCGGCCCACGTGCGGTGGGCAATCCATCGAGATGGAGGTGAACGTGCTGCAGTGGGTCTCAAGTACGCGTGCTGCTTCGAGGACCACTTGACGCTGGCGCGCGATCGGCGGCCATCCCGAAGGTGGCCCAGCTCTGAGACCCTGCGTGGCCCTGGGGGCCCTTGGGGGCCCTGGAGGCCTGCGGGGGCCCCGTGCTGTCGCGAAGGCGGGACACTGCGCCCCTCGGTATCTCGTATCTCGTATCCCCCTCCTCCTCCGCGGCGACGGGCCCCACGGCCCCGGCGGCGGCGCCCTGCAGCGCAGGGCGAGCGGGCCCACCTCGACGGGCGCCGCGCCGACGAGCAGCAGGCCTCGACGAGGATCGAGGGTCGAGGCCTCGACGAGGATCGAGGCCACGCAGGCGGTCGAAGACCGAGGCCTCGACGAGGATCGAGGCCTCGATGAGGATGGAGGATCGAGGCCTCGACGAGGATCGAGGACACGCAGGGGGTCGAAGACCGAGGCATCGACGAGGATCGAGGCCTCGCACAGGGTCGAGGCCTCGACGCGGGCGGCCGTCGTCCTCGCCCTCGTCCCCGTCGTTGTCCTGCGCCGCCCCGACGAGCAGCAGGCGCACGGCCCCCTCGCGGCGCGCCTGTCGGGGAAGCGCTGGAGGCTCGAGCGATTAGACCGGGATCGAGCTGGGATCGAGGTTCGAGCTGGGATCGAGGTCCGAGCTGGAGTCGAGCTTCGAGCTGGGATCGAACTTCGAGCTTCGAGGTTCGCTCCTTCGACCGTCCTGGGGCGCCCTCGCGGCCACGGCTCTTCGAAATTCTGGT